AGGTTCCCAGGGGATGCTGACGTAGATGGTCCTGAGGCCACACTTTGAGAACCGCTGCTCTAAGTAACAAAATTGTAGTTTTTTTTTTAATACTCTGTAGTTCTAAGATTCCACTAAGACCCGATGGCCTGTTTCTCAGTAAATCCACATTGGGAAAAATTTACTGGTTTTGAAGCCTCACACATTTGTGGTTAAGATTATGTTCTTTCTAACATTTCATATCACTTAGCAGAAGTTCAATCTTTCCTTTATGCCCCTTAGTGTTTCTTATTAGTTCAGCTTCGTAAAGCAGACTTCTGTTTCTGCTTCATTTTCTGGAATCTTTATATAGTATACATTTTTCCTCTGGTCTTCCACTTTGCCTGTATTTTTCTGTTATGTTCAGCAGATCAAGCTTCATAACATACTAAGTTGTGAGCTACCTTTATCAAATGATATCTGGCTCCCCACATCTACAATAGTAAATACTGATCCAATCCTGTCTCTAAATGCCCACACTGAGCCCACCATCCCAGAGATCTATTAGGATGGAAACGGCTGCATTCAATTCCTGATTAACTTTCTTTTCTCTTATATACTTGAAGCTTCAGTCTTTAGATCTCACTAGGAAAATTACAAGCATATGGGAATGCATGTAAATGACATGCAAAGTAATGCAAATCAATACAAAACATACATCTCTAAATTGCTTGAGAAAGGTCTATAAGCCTCAATGTTGATGTTATTTGCTTTGCTTCACTACACTCTGGCAAGCAGTGACTGGATCCTTTTATTACAGTTAATTTTATACAGCATCGAACACCTGACACTTGTTGACACATTAAGTGGAAGATGCCTTGCCTGTGAGTCAGGCAAATGGGACCCTGGCCTTAACGTAGCCACAGTTTGGCTGTATGGCCTTGGACAGGTTCTCAACATTCTCTAGGTTTCAGATTCTACAACCAGAAATGATTGAAATGGCATCATGATAATAACACCGCCAGGACTAAGGTTTACTGAGCACTTACTATGTGCTAGGCATAAGGCACACATGATGTACACATTGTGCTTGCATAATGCACACAGGCAATCCTTACAACAGCCCACAAGGAGGTACTGTAGAGCACGTACCCCTTAGGTGTGGTGTCATTTCAGAAACCAGGAAACACAGACAGGAAGGTCAGGAAGCTTGGGCCTGGTCCTAAGCTAGCGAGTGACAGAGTCAGATCCAGGAGCTCAGCAGTCTCACTGTAGAGGCCTTGCTCTTAGCCATGCTGCACCTCTGTAGCATGATTATCATCCATGTTTCTCCTAAACATTACATTTGTATGATCTGTGAAGTAAATCACTCACAGTCATACGGTAAAACAGTTTCTATAAGATGTTGATAGCTTGTATTATATAAGCTTGATATCAAAATACCATCACAATCCAAGGGGGAGGGGATCCAGACATCCTGTGTGTTCAGCTTCTCTTTCTAACTCACTGCATCACATTCCCATATGTCTAAGGCTCCCTCATCTTAAAGTACCTAGCCCTCTGTCCCACCTCTCACTCTGGGAGCAGCTTCCGGTCCTCAGCCACCATCGCCTCTCCCCCGACCCCATCCACCCCAGGATTCAGACCCCAGCCCTGGTACAGATGATCACCATCTTTGGAGAGTCAGCCAGCGAGTGCGCTATGTGGCCACTTGGGAAGCCATTCCACTCGGGAGCCTCGAAAGCTGCCCAGACTCAATAAAATCAAACTTGTCTTTCCTCCTCCGATGTTCCCTGTTTCTGTAAATAGCAGCACCCAAGCTTAGAGGGAGTCACGCTGCATTCTCACACCCTACACAAAACTCAGCCCCAAGTCACTCCACAGCCAGCCTTGAATCTGCCCACTGTGTCATCCCTACTGGCACGACCTCAGCCTCAACTGCCAGGCTTCCTGCACCCTCTGAGCCAGCCCTGTCTGCTTACGGGCTCCTCACGTCCATTCTCCACGCCGCAGCTGGAGTTTTGTTTTGTTTTTAATCCATATCTCATCTGCATACTATCAGGTGTGAAACTGTCCTGAGGATCCACTCGCCACAATGCCCCTTGGCACCACCTGGCCCTGGTACCTGCTGGCCTCCCCGGTGCCATTCTCCATCCTCCCCTCAGGTCATACTGAACCTGTCTTTTCTTCCAACTCTCAGGCTCGCCTCTCCTCTGGTCTCAGCACACACCATTCCCTTGGGTGGGAATACTCCCCCTTCTCACCTCTCCCGTCCCCCACGGCTGCTTAGTTTACACAGCTCCTACTCATCCTCAACCCACCTTCAATCTCCCCAGCAAGGCCTCCTGCCTCAGCACAGATGCAGTGAGCTGCATGCAGCACATCCGCGCCTCACAGCAGCCAATGTGCCTGGCTCACAGCCAGTGCTCAACACAGGTGGACTGAAGAACTCACTTGTCAGCCTTGCTTTGCTGATTTTTACTGTCTCACTGCTTTTTCCCACCTTGTAGCCTAAGAAGGAAATCCCCTGAAGCTGACTCCGTTTTACCTCTCCTATGTGGTGCTGTGATAAGCCTCAGGTCACCAGGTCATGCTCCCAGCACCGTGGGTCAAGGGTGAGGCAGAAACAGCACCGTCAGGTACAGGGCCCTCTACCTGCTCTCTGCCCCTCCCTTACCTGGAAAACCACCATAGGTCAAAGTCAGTTTGGGAAGCACCTGTATTTATGGCCTGCTTATCTTGAAGGCACTTGGCCAGGTGCCATAAAGTGCCAACTCTGACTGATTGCCCGACTATGCCATTCACCCCTACCTACCTCTGTGCAGGAGATGTGACATTTAGCAAATCAGTATAAACTTTTTCCCCCAAAGAAAAGAGTATAAACCTTCTCATCCCACCACCACCCCACAGCAGGAAACTCCTTTCAGTACCCCCAGAGAAAATTCAGCGGCCACACAATTCCTTGGCTATTGTTTCTCTCCTGATACCAGAAAGAGATATATCAACAACATCTTTAATTGGTCATTTCTCTCACAAAATTGGATCCTTAGAAAGTGCAACATAGGATATGCTCTCTATAATGTTTCACTTTTAAATATTTTACTTCCTTAAGACACTATCAACAAAAGCTGTCAGAATGAACTATTAGTTTCTAGAATGTTTTAGGCTTATTGATGCTTTAATAGGGGCATGTTTTATGAATGCAAGATCAAAAAGGGCGACTTATGTCTACTCACATGAGACAATTAAATGCATTATATTATCCCCAACTCTGTTAATATTCTGGTTTGCTGTTCTTCCATTATTAAAGACTTAAAAAAAAAAAAGAAAGAAAGAAAGAAAGAAAAAAAAAAAAAAAAGGAATTTAAAAAGTGCCCCAAGGCCAATATCGCCTCTCTGCCTGCCCAGCAAGAGAACAGTATACTGTTTCTCAGGCTACGTGACTCGGAAAACTTACCCGTCAGGGAAAGCTGAGTCCTTAAATTTACAAAACACCCACTCGCCCCGTTTGCCTAGCACTGTTTCCTACGTGCAGACTGCTAATGGACTCGAGCGTCCAGTTTCTCGGCTCGGATCCCAGAGGCTCCCGACCCTCTGTGGTAGGCACCGCCACCTCGCAGGGGGACGATCCCGGCCCGCTCTGCGGCACAAAAACTTGACCTTAAAAAGCGCAGAAGCTGGTCTCTGGGAAGGGCGCGGCCTGGGAGGCGCGGCCCGCAGCTTCCGCCCCCAAAGAACGACTCGGAGGCCCCCTCCAGCCCCAGTTGCCCTGGCGCAGAAGCCGCGGGAGCAGTCCTTTCACGCGCCCCGCGTCCCTGTCCCGAAGCCCAGGGGCGGGGGCTCGGGCAGCATCGCTTGTCCCCGCTGGTCCAGGGCTGCGGAGAAGCTGCAGGAGGCTCTGAAAAGCGAGCGTCGGGAAGCCGGGCTCAGCAGTTCCCCCGGGCCCCCTGCGCCCCGCAGCAGCGCGGGCCAGGCTGCGCAGCGCTGGGCCCCGAAGGGCCAGGACGGCGGGATGCCCCCGCTCCCGGCGAGGGAGCGCCGACGAGCCGCGTTCTTGGCACTCGGGGAGAGTCCCGGGAAAGCCCGGCGCTGGCGCGCCAGCCTGGCGGCTCCGCTCCGCCCGCGAGCCCAGGAAGCCGGCGCCGCGGCCCGCGTCCGTTATCCAGGACACACTCCGCGCCTGCCGCCCGCCTCCCTTTCCCAGCGCTGGCCTCGGGGAACTTCCCCGCGTCCGGCCGCGGACGGCGGCTGCTGCGGGAGCCGCGAAGTTGCGGCTTCTGCTAGGCGCGCGCGCGCGCCGGGTAGCCCACCTGGCCTGCGACGCTGTGTCCGCCCGCCGCGCGCTCTGGCCGGCCCCGGGGTTACCGCAGGCGCGGGGAGAAGCCGGGGTTCAGCCCAGGTCCCCGCGCGGCTCCGGGAGGGCGCCCCCGCCTGCCGCCTGGAGAGGGACGCGGCGCCGAAGTTTTCCCCGGCGGGAAAACGAAAGTCGTGAGGAGCAGAGGGTCTGGGCGTCCCGGCCACCCCCGGGCGGAGACGAGGCTGAGACCCGGCTAACATCTCCAGCCCCGGGCGACCCTCGCTCGCCAGCGTAGCCAAGTCGACTTACGAGAAGGAGCGGCGCAGCCCCGAACGCGGGTCCGCGAGGCTGCGGAGGCCGCCCCGGGGGGGACCGCGGGCTGCGCTCTGGGCTCCCAGGCTCTCCGCGGCGGCTTGCTCTCGCACTGCCCCTCCGTCGCCCTGCTGGGGAGCCGCTCTCTCCCGGCCCAGGGTGGGAGAGCGCTGAGCGGCCCCCGTGACGTGCGGCGAAAGGAGGAGCACCGCCGCCGCGCTCCCGCAGAGGGAGCTCCCTGCCCTGCGCTCCCGGTCCCCGCGCCGCGCTTCGGACAAAGTTCCCAGGCGCTCGCGGTGATCTCGGCTCTCCGCCGCTGCCCGTAGCGTCATCCACCTTCGGTTCCCTCCCACATTAGACAAGAAATCTGAGGTCAGGAGAGATAAGTAACTTGCCCAAAGTCGCTCAGAAGGCAGTGACAAAGCAAACTCACATCTGCGGCTCCTTTTTTCCCCTGAACTCCGGGCTCTGCGGAGGCTCGGGCCCTGCGGGAGTCGCCCAACCAGACAGAAGGCAGCTCGCTCTCATGGGTAAGACGAAGAGTGTCCCACGCAGCCGCGAGAAATATTATCAGCAGCGTGGGAAGGTGGAGCTTTTTGCCCAATAACTAGAGTGCAAAGTTGTTTTTCAAACGGTGCCTACATGCCAAATCGGTTTGCTTTTTATCCTTAAGCGAGGGTGAGGGTGGCGGCTGTGCGGACGCCAATCGGGATCACCAAATAAGTGCACTGGAAAGAAAGCACACAGCTACTTAATCAATTGGCCATCAAGGACTCGGCCTTCCGAGCGGGTTCTTGTGAATATGCTAACCTTGTAAAGCGGGCGCGCCACGCTCTGCTTGCTATTCACGCACTTCCAGGAGTCTCCCGCCAGGCTCCACGTCCTTTCGGGGCCGGGAGCTCCCAGGGCTTGCCTTTCAGGGCAGGGAGTGGCACCAGACAAGTCAATCCCAGTCGGTTTGTTCCTTACTTCATTGGTCAACCAGTGTTGACTGAGGGCCTGCAATGTGCATGGCTGTTGGATGGGGAGCTGGGTCGGTAGGACCTAGGACCTAGGACCCAGTGAATCTCAAAGAGGGAGTGTCACATGCGTCCCCATATAGTTTACTCTCAGAATCTGGAATCTGCCCAAAGCAGTAGAGAGACTTTGAGTCTACCCCAACCCCCACGCCTTTTTAAAAACTCCCTGTGCTCAAAGAGCAAGTGTTTTAATATTCGTTTTACAGACTTACTTTCAAGCAAATGGCCAACTTTGCCTTCACTTCCTCCCCGTGGGACCACCTCTTTCTGGAATAATACTTTATACTTCCTGGGTCTCCCTCATTTGCACATGATGATGGTGATAGTCATGATGGTAAAAACAACTAAGGCTTCTATTATCCACCCTGTGCACTGTTCTAAGCCATTTATGCAGATTAACTCTTTCAATCCTCACAACTTTATGAGGGAGGTGCTATTTTAATTCTAATTTTACGGATGATGAGAGGGAGGCAGGTGAGGTGAAATAACTTGCCGGTAAGTGGGTGGTCTGTCTGGTGTCCATGCTCTCAACCACTGAGGTCTCCAAGACTGGAATTCAAAGGGACCATCAGCCATCATTAACCACAGCTTACACATCTCAAACAAGCCATGCTAGGAAATACATGCACTTCCTCCCAAAGAGGTGAATTTTACTATTTTGCGTATATCATGTCATAAAGTGGATATCCATTCACTCACTTGCTCCTCTATTTCCAACTTCCAAGTCAACTATTTTGTCCTAAAGCAAACTATTTCTTAAAAACCTATTCATCATAAAGTTTGCAATTTTTGTTTTGGATTGTTTTATACGCTCAGACCATACCCAGCTGTTTCCCTCTCCTTTCTACTCACAGCCTTGTTATGCTCTTTTTTTTTTTTTTTTTTTTTTGGTGAGACAGAGTTGCTCTGTAGTCCAAGCTGGAGTGAGCATGCCACACTGTAAGCATGCTCATTGCGCTCAGCATTCCTGTATTGTTCTTCTAGGACTGCCTAACAAATATCCAGGCAATCTCGGCTCACTGCAACATCCACCTGCTGGGTTCAAGCGATTTTCCTGCCTGAACCTCCTGAGTAGCTGGGACTACAGGTGCACACTAGCACATGCAGCTAATTTTTGTATTTTTGGTGGAAACAGGGTTTCACCATATTGGCCAGGCTGGTCTTGAACTCCAGACCTTGTGATCCACCTGCCTCGGCCTCCCAAAGTGCTGGGATTACAGGTGTGAGCCACTACGCCTGGCCAAGTTACTCTCTTTCATCCCTTAAAACCTTGTTGTAACCAGCCCTGCAGGTCTTCTGAAAGTGGGTTGCCCAAAGATGGTAGTGGCCCCAGAATGGTCTCTGCCACACTGTAAGCATGCTCATTGCACTCAGCATTCCTGTATTATTCTCCTAGGACTGCCTAACAAATACCACAGACTGCACGACTTAAAACAACAGAAACATATTTCCTTACAGCTCTGGAGGCTGGAAGCCTGAAATCAATGTGTTAGCAGGCTGGGATCCCACTGTGCCCCTTCCTAGCTTCTGGTGGTTGCTGGTAATTCCTGGCATTCCTTGGCTTGCAGCTGCATCACTCCAGTCTCTGACCTTTTCCTGTGTCTCCTCTGCAAACACATTTCCCTCTTCTTTAAGGACACCAGTCATTGCACTTAGGGCCCACCCTAATCTAGTATGACCTCATTTTAACTTGATTACTTGGCAAAAACCCTATTTCCAAATAAGGTCACTTACACAGGTTCCAGGTAGACATGAATTTTCAGAGAATGCTGTTTAACCCGGTGCAGTCTCCAAAAGTCATTTAATAAAATGACAGTTAATAAAAACATATTGCCTGAGCTAAGGATGCAAAGAGGTGTAAGTCACAGCCCCTGCCCTCCAAGAAACTCCAGTTACAGAGGTAGTCCTTGCACTGAGAACATAAAGACTGGAGTCACTAAGAGCCAACTAACTGGAGCCAAATGACAATCTGGGGACCAAGTGGCAGCTATACACAAGGAATTCAGCCAAAGGGGAACAGTCACTGAGGATACGGTTCTAGGACTGCACTCAAAGGTGAGGGTGATTCAAACACATCTATGAGGGAAAAATTGAAAAAGCAAACAGAAATAAGGAGAGCTTATCAGAAACACAGCTCCAAGGGGAAGAGTGTGCCTGGCAGAATTTTACTTCTTGAGTTTCATGCAGAAATGAAAGACTGAAGGGATGCAAATACCTATCATACTGAGTATAAGAACATGGTGAATTACTTTTACTGTACTAATAGCATGCTGTAATGCCATAGCAATTAGCCTGCTTTAAAGTGCTCTCTTCACTGGGCGCAGTGGCTCATGCCTGTAATCCCAGTACTTTGGAAGGCCGAGGTGGGAGGATCACTTGAGGTCAGGAGTTTGAGACCAAGCTGGCCAACATGGCAAAACCCAGTCTCTAGTGAAAATACAATAATTAGCCCGTGTGGGGGCGGGCATCTGTAATCCCAGCTACTTGGGAGGTTGAGGCAAGAGAATCGCTTGAACCCGGGAGGCGGATGTTGCAGTGAGCTGAGATCACGCCACTGCACTCCAGCCTGGGTGACAGAGTGAGACTCCTTCTAAAAAAAAAAAAAAGTGCTCTCTTCTTTCAGTAATATCATTTGATCTTTATGACAATCCTGGGTGTCATCAGAGACAAGGACATCATATTTTATAACCAAGTATCCCAAGGCTCAAACAATGAAGTAACTTGCACAGGTCAAACAGCAAATCATTTGTAGAGTTGGTATGAAGCATATTTGCCTGGATATTCCTCAGTTAGGAATGTCCCCATGATGTTGGCTCCTGGGCCAGCCTTCCAGTATTGATTGCTTTGTTTTTGGTCCAAAGAAAGCGTTTAAAGAAAAAGAGAATCCTGCAAGAAATGGAAAGTTTTTCTAAAAGCTACGTGAATCTCAAACTGGAATTGTGAAAAATCTTCCCCAGACATCTGAACTGGTTTCACTAAACCTTCTGAGGATTTGCAAGTGTATTGAAGTCTCCTTTAGGCCTTCAGAGACTTAATAGTATCTAGTGGGCTTCTGCAGAACTTCGCTGATTATCCTAAAGAAATAGGGATTGAATGACACTTTGGGGGCACTCAGAACACGAGAAGTTGAGGGGAAGCTGAGTAAAAAACAAGAAATTACATTACAGGATGGTATGCCAGCAGAAATTGACAATTAAAACTCAGTATCTGATCTCACCATTGTGTAAAGTTATACACAGACGACCAGATCTTGGCATGTTTTGAAAACTTTCTAATAAGAATCTGCAACTATGACTAGCAACTGAAAGCAAGCAGGAAGTCTAGTGTTGGACTGAGTATCTGATGATTTAATGTGTTTCCCTGGATTTTCCTTTGCTTAGCAAGCAGGTAACTTGCTGAATCTTCTGCTGGCTGTCTTTAAAAGTATATTTAAGCTTGAAATGCTTTTGATTCTAGTGTGATTCATTGAGTCTTGGTTGTGCATAGTGCTACACTGGTTGCTATGGGAAAGTACAAAAATATAAAAGACAGTTCCTGACCAAAAGAAAATCCCATCTAATTTAGGACACATGAGACATATAGAATAAAAATTATATAAGTGTGTTTGCAATGGAATTTGTAAGCAGTTATTACTCAGTTCTCTGTTCAGACGTGACTTTTTGAAAACAGGGCCTCCTTGGCTACGCTTTTTAGAACAATGGCCTGTCCCACCTCCACATCACCTGTTGGCCTTTTTCCTGCTCTGTGGTCTTTATAGCACTTATTACTATCTGAAATTAAATTGTTGTTTGTTTACTCTGCTCCTAGACATACTATCTCTGAGGGCATGAGCTTTGTCTTATTCTCTGCTGTATTCCTAGCACCTGAAGAAATGTTGGGAACATAGTAGGTGCTCATTTAAATGGTTGTTAAATACATGAATAAAATACATATTAACCAACTGAAAATGGACCAGCATAACTTGGATTAATGCTCCTCACATTTGCCTGATAAGACTCTCCTAGGCATTTGGAAAAAAATTTGCTGCAGGTTCTGTTTCAGTAAGCCTAGAGTGGGGCTCAGGAATCTATAGTTTTAAGACACATCCCAGGTATTTCTTTTAATAGGACTGTCTGGGAAACATGCATTACTACAGTAATTGAGGGTGGGAAAGAAAAGTGAACTGATAACAGCAGGTTGCAGAGGTCAGTGGCTGCTCATTGCAGTTATCTGGAGGAGGTTTTAAAAATGCTGATACCCACTCCAGACCTGTGAAATTAGAATCTTTTAGGTGGGGGCAGACTTGGGCAGGGTATTAAAGCCCAAGGCAGAGCCCTCATGGTGTAATCACCTCTGAAGCGTTCCACCTCTCAACACTGTTGCACTGAGGATTAAGTTTCCAATACATGAACTTTGGGGAACACATTCAAACCCTAGTCCCTGGGACTGCTGATGCCCAGACTCATTCGCAAAGATTCTGCTGTATTGGATATAAGGGAGGTGTTTTTTTGTTTTTTGTTTTTTGGGGGGGTGTGTGTGTGTGTGTGTGTGTGTGTGTGTGTGTGTGTGTGTGTGGCAGAGAGGAGAAAGAGAGAGAGAGATGCAGCAGTGTTGCTAATCAGAGGTTTAGAAAGAAAGAGGAGAGTCTGGCCCATATAATCTTCATAATAACAACAGCTATCGTTTATTGAGCAGTCACTGTGTAACAGCCACTGTGATGCCTGCCTTGCACAGACTACCTCATTTAATCCCCCACAAAAACTGTAGGAGGGAGGCACATTGGCAGCCCCATTTACAGACATATGATGAGACTGGGGAGGATTACAAGGTTCTATGACTAGGGATTGGTAGAGCTGGGATGTCAGCCTAGAACCTATACTCATATCCTCTGTCCTATACTGCTTCCTCAGCCAAAAACAGGTCTGAAGAGAATGTCAACAAGGAGAAATTCTCTGTGGTAGAGGTCACGTCCAGTCATTTTAAGCTGTTTGCTGTGCTGTGTTGTGCTATAATTCTTTCCTCTTTGCCAGCAAGCCTTAAGCAAAGCTTGTTCCACATCAGCTGGCATGGGTGGTGCTGTGGGGAAAAAGAAACCAGGTGGGGTGAGGTTAGCATAAGGCAGAAGGATGGAGAAGGTGGTGACAGCACTAGAGACTGACAGCAATGCCCAGGAACCAACCTGGCGGGCAGGCTGATGGAGAGTTTCATAGAAAAGTAGTCATAGTGGGAGAATGTAAC